CCGCCCCTTCCGGGCGGCGGGAGGCGGGGGCGCCTCCGGGACCGGGTCGGGCGGTGACGGTCTCTGTGCCCCTCCGGGGGCGGCTGCGGCTTCCCCCCCTTGCTGGCCGCCCAGCGCAGAGCCCGGTGAGTCCCGTGCCAGTGTCCCCGCGAGGTCAGAGCGGCTCACCCGGCGCTTTGTGTGGCGAAGGGCGCCGGTTGCCCGGTGCCGCCGTGCTCCGGCCGCGCCCCGGGGCTGTGCCCGGTCCGCGCCCGCAGCACTGGCCCCGGCTGTGTGAGCCGCGGCTCGGCCCCCTCACGGACCGCTGGGGCCCTTTGCAGGTCCCGGGGGCGCTGGATGTGTCGGTCTGTGGCCGTCGCGGGGGAGCCGTGGCCGTGCCGTGCCGCCAGCTATGATTCCCCGCTGACAGGTACAGCGTCGGCCGGCCTCCCGCTCTCCTCCACCACTTAACTCCCGTTTCAGCCCGGTTTCCCCGAGCTCTGCCCTCGCTGTATCCCCTGGGGAGAGGTGGAGCAGCCCCGGGCTCGGGTCGGCGGGGCGGGTGTGATTGGACTCCTCGGTGTCCCCCGAGGTCACCGGTCCCTCCCTCTTCCCGTGCCGGCGCTCCCGCCTCTGCCTGAGCTGCCGCGGGAGCGCTGAGGAGGCAGTGGGGACGCAGCGATGCTGCCCAGGTGGGGAGGGCAGGGGGCAGCTTTGGGGTGTAGAGGAGGAAGGAGCGAGGGGAGGGACGGGCGCTGCTGGCGGAGGGGTTGTGGTGTGGCCATGGACTCCGAGCTCTAAGGAAAATCAGGCTCGGCTCCCTGCTGGAATCACCTGGCTCCTGGTCATTGAACTGGGTCTTGGGTCCCTCGGCACTCCAGGGGAAAGTCGGTGCTTCAGCCGTGTCAGGCTGGGGAAGAGCCCCGGGCCGGGGAGGGGTGTGTGTCCCGCTGCCCGTGCAGGAGCTGGCTGTCACAGGGGCACTGCTGCCTTCCCCACCCCGTGGATTTGGGAGTCCTATGCCTGTGGACTTCGGTGCTGAGCTGAAGGAGACAGGATGGGGCAGGACAGGCCCGGGGCCCGTCGGCAGGGCACTGTCGGGGTCCCGTGGGTGCCGAGGGCCCCTTCCCAGGGCCTCGCCCTCAGGAGCGGTTCCTCCGCAGGCTGAGCGGCATCGACTGCACCCGGGGATGGTTCCGCCGCTACCTGCGGGGAGGCCCAAGTAGGAGCCGGGCCATGGGGGCCGCGCCGGGGCCGGCACCTCCCCGCTGCCCTCCGTAGCCCGACAGCAGCCGGCGGCCACTCCGAGGGCCACCATGGAGCGGCCCCCGCGTGTGCCCGGGCCCCGCTGGCTCCTGGGCTGCTTCGGGCGGAAGCCACAGGCCGTGCGGGGGGAGCCGGAGCCGGAGCCGCTGCCGGAGCCGGAGCCGCTGCCGGAGCCGGAGCCGGAGGAAGCCGAGGAGACTCGCGTGGCGCTGCCCCCGGGCGAGGGCCGGGTGCTGGAGGAGTGCCCTCTGTGCCTGCTGCCGCAGCCCCCCGAGGCCTTTCCCAGGCTGGCCTGCTGCGCCCACCGCTCGTGCCGGGCGTGCCTGGAGCAGTACCTGCGCCTGGCCGTCAGCGAGAGCCGCGTGCTGGTGTCGTGCCCGCACTGCCCCGCCGCGCTCCCCGCCGCCGACGTGCGCCGGCTGCTGCCCGAGCCCGCCCTCCGCGACAAGTACGAGGAGTTCCTGCTGCGGCGGCTGCTGGTGGCCGACCCCGGCACCCGGTGGTGCCCCGCGCCCGACTGCAGGTACCGCCGGGGGGGGCGGCGTGGGCCCCCTGCCCGCGGCATCGGCGTCCCGTGAGCCCTTGCCAGGATCGGTCCCTTGTCACTCGGTCCCGTGTGGGGCTGGGCTGCGCGGGGATGTGTCCGGTCCCTGTCCGGCCCCAGAGCCTGTCTGCCAGGGCTGGTGCCCTTAGCTGCACCGCGGGGCTGTGGGTGCCGGACCGTGCTGGTGAGGGCCTTGGTGAACCCCTGAGCCGGGGCTGCGGCTCCAGCTCAGCGCGGGGCTGGGACCTGCCCCTGCCCAGCCTGGCTGTGCCAGCTCTGACTGCCTTCTCCCCACAGCTACGCTGTCCTCGCCCACGGCTGTGCAGAGTGTCCCCGCCTCACCTGCGGGCGCGAGGGCTGTGGCACCGAGTTCTGCTACCACTGCCGGCAGCCCTGGCACCCCGATGGCCCCTGTGTGCCAGCAACGCTGGCCCCTGGCCTGGCCACCCCCACAGCACAGCCGGCCCAGCCTGAGGACTCAGCCCACGGTGAGGCCCTGGCACAGGATGGGAGGCACAGTGGGATGCCTCTGTGCCTGCGGGTCTGCTGGAGCCGGGGCTGCCTCGGGCTTGTAGCCCCTGTGCCAGTTGGGCTGGGGTGTGGCACTCTGGCACTCGTGGGACTTGGGGAGCCTGGGACAGGATGTGTCCCATCCTGCTCCCCTATCCTGTCTCATCTCCCCCCCAGCTGAGGCTGAGGACATCAAGGTCTGTCCGCGCTGCAGCGCCTTCATCATGAAGATCAACGACGGGAGCTGCAACCGCATGAACTGCACGGTCTGCGGGTGCCTCTTCTGCTGGCTCTGCCTGCGGGAGATCTCCGACGTGCACTTCCTCAGGTCAGCGCGGGGGCCCTGACGGGAGCTTGGGGCTGGGATGGGGGCAGCCAGGCCTGGCCCCAGGTTTGGGGCTGGCTGGGGGGAGCAGCCTGGTCTGTGCCACTCGGTCTGGCGGGGCTGGGGCCAGCTGTTGGCGTTCCCAGGAGGCAGCTGGAGCTCAGGGTTGGGGGAACCTGGCTGTCTGCTCCCCGGTGGGCCCACGGGTGTCCCCCAGCACAGGGTTGGGCTGTGCTGGTCTCTGCCTTGGCCCAGCCCTGCTCTGTCCCCACAGCCCCTCTGGCTGTACTTTCTGGGGGAAGAGGCGGTGGTCGCGGACCCGAAGGATCCTGTGGCAGCTGGGCATGGTGCTGGGTGCACCCATGGTCATCTCCCTCGTCGCGGGCGTCGCTGTCCCTGTCATTACCATTGGGATCCCCATCTACATGGGTAGGAAGGTACTGGCAGGAGGTCTAGGAGTCCCTGTGGCCCTGCTCCCTGCCGAGCCTGGCAGCCCATGGCCCCTGGCCAGGACAGACCTGCAGTGCTCCCCGCTGCCCATAGCACATCTCTGACCGCCCTCAGCATGTCCCTGTGCCACCCCTGACTGCCCACAGCACATCCTTGTGCCACCCCTGACCCCCCTCAGCACGTCCCTGTGCCACCCCTGGCTGCCCACAACCCCTCCTTGCCAGGACCCTCCGTTTCCCCCCAGCACTCTGCCAGTGTGGGTGTGCTCAGCCTGGGGAGGGGGGTTCGGGGTGAGCGAAATGGAGAAGAGGTCTGGGGGCCTAGAGGGGGGTTTGCAAGGACACCTGAGCTGTGGTGGCAGTGCAGTCATGGCTGCCTGTCCCTGTGGTTGTGACTGGAGCTCTGCCAGGCTGGGAAGAGGCCGTGAGGTCTTTGTAGAGCCCTTCACCTGTCTTCTCCTGCAGGTGCTGGGCCAGAGCCGGCGGAGCAGCCTGTCAGGGTGCCAGCAGTGCCTCTCTGTCACCAGCAGCGTCCTTCTCTCTCTCTTTGTGTCCCCCATCATAACAGCTGTCACCGTGGGTGAGTGCAGGCTGGGGCCGAGGGCACTGCCCTGCGCTGGGCAGTGGGGCTGGGGAGTGGCCTCAGGGGATGTCTGGGACCAGGGGCACTGGGGCAGTGACCACCTGTCCCCCCACAGGTGTTGGCGTGCCCCTGATGCTCACCTACGTGTACGGGACCGTGCTGCTGTCGCTGTGCCGGAGCCGCTGGGGCTGCGGGGGTGGCCGCACACCTGGAGACGTTGGCGTGGTGGAGCTGGAGAACCTGGCCAAGCGTGAGTCCCGTGCCTGGCCCTGGCCCGTGCCCTCCCTGCTCTGGCAGGAAGCAGCCCTTGGGAACAGGGTGCTCAGCGCCGTCTCCCTCCCGCAGTGAACGAGCTGTGGTCGGTGCTGCCCAGCCCAAACCCCAGCCCCAGGCCGGGTGAGGACGGAGCCCCAGACCCCACGGCCTCCCTGCCCAGCAGCAGCCGCAGCCAGCGCCCCGGGCTGGCGTGGGACAGCCAGTCTGCCAGCACGGTGGCACTGGCGGGGAGCATGCTGAGCGAGGGCCAGGACACCTCCGACAGGTGAGCGGGGCGGCCGTGCTGGGGGCCGACACAGCCCTTGGGAGCCGACACATCCCTTGGGAGCAGCCGCCCTCGCGCCCGTTGTGCCGGACAGGGACAGGGGATGTCCCCCTCCAGGCTGCTGCCCTCAGGCTGGTGTCTGTCCACAGGGAAGGCGTCACCATCGAGGTGGAGGTGTCGGTCGAGGCGGTGCCGCGTCCTGCCCGGCAGCAGAGCCTGAGCAGCGCCCTGTCTGGGCAGAGTCTCTCCGGGGACTCCCTGGGAGCCACCAGTGACAGAGGTAGCTCTGTGGGTGTTCCCGTGGAGTGAGAGGGCCGAGGGGAAGAGCCTCGATCCACACACGAGCCCGATGCCCTCCTGTGGCAGAGCCAGCGGACCACATCCTGCACTGCTGCGCCAGCCCCAACCGCCCCCTCCCCAGAGGCACCGCTGGGAAATAAAGCTGCTTTCCAAGGGTCCGTCTGTCTCCTGTGGCACAGTGGGGTAATGCCATAGGCTGTGGGTGGGGACCCTGGGCCACATGGGCTGCACAGTCTCAGGCAGTGGGGTCCTGCCTCTGGCCAACTCTGACTCCACTGCAGCATCCTGGGGAGAAAAAGCTGCTTCTGGACATTTTACTGCTCAAAGTTGGGCAGTCACAGAATGACAGAAGGGTTTGGGTTGGAAGCTCATCTCTGCCCTCCTGCCATGGGCAGTGACACCTTCCACTATCCCAGGTTGCTCCAAGCCCTGTCCAACCTGGCCTTGGACACTTCCAGGGATGGGGCAGCCACAGCTTCTCTGAGCAAACTGCCAATGGCCTCACCATCCTCACAGGGAACAATTTCTTCCCAGGATCCCATCTAATCTTGCCCTCTGTGGTGGGTCCTGTGCCACATCAAAGGCCCCTAGAGCTGCAGGTGTTTGCATTAACCTGCTGCAGCTGCTCAGGGAACAGACTCGAGGGTTCTGCTACGACTGCCTGGCAGATTCTGTCCTGGCAGCTCACCCAGAGGAGCTCACATGGAGGAGCAGAGGATCCCAGGAGCTGTGCAGGGAGGGTCCTTAGGATGGGCAGAGCCCCTGAGGACCAGGGGGGCAGTGGGAGACCCCCCAGCAGCAACAGGCTGCTGCCCACAGGGCTTGTGGCTCCCTGTGGGATCCCAGGGCAGGTGGGACTGCTCTGGGCTGTGTGGGAAGGAGGGACTGGGGGGAAGAGCAAGTGCAGGAAACAGACAGCAACGGGCCAGTTGTGTGTAAAAGAAAAAAGAGAAGAAGAAATAACAGCTCACCACAGATGCTCTTCTTTTCCAGCAGTTGGCCGAGTCTGTGGCTCTTTCTGTTGCACAGGGAGAGCCCACCTTTCCATCAGTGTTTTACAGCCCAGGGACTTCACTCCTGCAGGAGCAGCCACAGGTATCGACACACCTTGTACAAGCTGTGTGTGCATCAGGGAGGTGCCCCTTGCTGCACCTTGATGGGTGCTGCCTGCTGAGGGCAGGTGAGCTCAGCAGGGTGACTGGTGCCTCCATTCCTTCAGCAGACACAGACTCTCTCCAGAGACTCGTATCTGCTCTGAGAATCCTCAGCAGAGCCATCCTGGGGGAACCGGGAGCCACAGGCCAAAGCCCTGCAGTGCTCCAAGACCCCAGGGAAAAATGTCCTTTCCCACCCCACCTTCCTCATCTCCCCTTCCAGGAAAGAACCAAGGACCAGGAGCATAGCTGTGTTTTCCAGTCTTTTAGTTTGAAAAAAGTATTGATTGAAAGTGTACAACCGAACACGGCGTGGCCTCAGCACCACCGCCAGATTGTTTCACAAATAAAAACAGAAAGGGCCTTAAATAATCGGGTGCAGATTAAAAAAACCTCAACAGTGAAAAAGTTCTTCCCTCCGAACAGAAATTCACAGGCACAGAAATGGCAACAACCACATGGAGACAATGGGGGGACATCCTCCTCCTCCTCCTCACCACGGGCTCTGCGCTGTGGCGCTCCCGGGCGCAGCTCCGTCCTCGCTCCCTCTTTGGAATGGTTACGGATGAACAGTGCGACATGCCCTCGCTAACCACACCCGCCCCCCACCCCCCGACCAGGACACGGACAAACAAGGCCTCTACTAAGGCTAAAAAAAGGACAAGACTTGGAGTCTTGAGTTCAGCATGGGTAAGAAACGAGAGTCTGGTGAGCACAGCCCAGTCCCTGGGCGGGCCCCGCTACTCCAGCTTGGCCTTCTTGGTGCTGTCCCCGCCGTTCTCCTCCACCGGTGCCGCCACCTCCCCCAGTTTCCGCTTCCCGCTCTCGGCGGGTGGGTGTGGGTGTGTGTTACGGGGTTTGAAGCTGATGATGATGCAGGTCATGTTATCGCAGCCGGTGCCGTCTCCTGAGGTGTCTGGAGCCAAGCACTGATCCAGCAGCTGGGGAGGGAAAGGGCAGGTCAGCAGAGAGCAGACACACACCAGGACCACTCCGAGGCACCGGGCCCCCTCCAACACCTGACGGTGGCTCAGGTGCTGCCAGGCCAGGGCTGTGTGGGATGAGTTAAATGCTGTTCCCACCACGGAAGGGACAGAAATGGCCTCAGCAGCCCCAGGTTTCTGAATGTGGGCAGCAACTCCTTCGGCTGGACAGCACCCCTGAGGTCAGACACAGGCCTGGGTGCCTGGGGAACTGGGTCCCATTGCAGAGGTGTTTCTGCTCCTGCCCATTGCAGTCCACGAGCTGCAGACCCCCTGAGTGCTGGACGAGCCCACGTGAGGGAGCAGGAGGGCAGAGCCAGGTCCTGAGCTGGGACACAGAAATGCTGTGCTGCTGCAGGGACAGCAGAGCTCCGGATTTTACCTCTTCTACAATGGAGGAGAGCGGCCGCAGGACTCCATTCTCATCCTTTTGAGTGATCTTGGACTGGATGAAATCCACCACTTCCTGGCTGCTCATCACATTCCTGCAGAGCAGAGAGGTCAGAAGGGAGCACACATGCCAGTGTCCAACAGGCCTTCCCCAGGCCCAGCTCCAGAGAAAGACCAGAGAAGCGACACCCCAGAGGCACAACAGCTCCCTCACCACTCACCAGATTCCATCACAGGCAATGACCATGAAGTCGTGGTCATCATTTATTGTCAGCACTTTGATGTCAGGCAAGGCAGAGATCATCTGCTCTTCCGGAGGGAGGTTCTTGTTCCGCTTGTAGAAGTGATCCCCTGTGGTGGGGAGGAGGATGTCTGGGCACGGGAAGTGCTGCCTGCCCTGCACAGGGAGCAGCACTGCCCCACCACAAGGCCCCAGTGGGGTCCAGCCAGTGCTCCCACAGCCTGGGATCAGGGAACCACCACAGGTTCCAGGTGTCAGCTCTGGCCAGCCCAGAGAAGAGGGGCTCAGCCTCTCTTCACCCCAAATCGTGTGCTGCTTCCCCACCTCCTGGGGCAACACCGGGCCAACAGCACACAGCACCTGTCACCTCTGGAGAGGCTGTGGCTGCCCCAGCCCTGGAAGTGTTCTGGGCCAGGCTGGATGGTGCTTGGAGCAACCCAGTCCACTGCAAGGTGTCACTGCCCATGGCAGCGGGGGTTGGAACAAGATGATCTTGAAAGTTCCATCCCACCCAAACCATTCCAGGGTTCATTCTATGATTCAAAGCTCACTTGAGAAAACTGACCCTCAGCTCCAGCTACCAGTTTATCAGGAATCAGAGCCTACAAAGGGACTTCCAGGGCCACCACAAAATAGGAGGTGGGAATGTCAGTGTCTCCCTAGATAAACAAACTCCTTGTCTCTATCCTAAAGATGTTTTTATCTCTTTACCCTAGGATAATGATTTCAGTGGTTTGGGTCCTTCTGCAGAAGTACAGATGACCAAGTGGGTTCAAACTACCATGAAGCCAGGTCCCCAGGAAGCAACACACCGAGGTCCCTCAAGAGACAGAGAGCAGGAAAGGCCCTGTTCCCAAAGGCAGCAGTCTGGTTTTGGGACAGTTTATATGAGCTGGTTTCTGATAACCCAGCTACTGGCACTACAGCCTGGGAGGTGCTAGGTGCTGCTTTCCACTGGTGTCCAACTGCTTCATGGCCATTTTCTCCAATCAGACTGAAATCTCCCATCAAATAAAGAATTATTTGGTTAAAAACTGCTCTATATCCTCGGTGGCTGGCGGTGCTGGAAGCACGGCTGCCTGAGGCCAGGCCTGCCAGCACCCACCCCCCTGCTCACCAATGGCCCTGGAGAGGTTGAGGCCGCCATTCACCCTCCCGTCCATGGTGACCTTGCCGCCGGCGTTCTTTATCCTGGCCAGCTCCACCTCGTCCTCTGGCTTGTGGTCGTAGGACATGTCGACGGCCTTGCCGCCCTCGGACACGACGCAGCGCGAGTCCCCGGCGTTGGCCACGATCAGCTGCTTGCCCCGGATCAGCGCCACGACAGCCGTGGTGCCGCTGTCCGAGCCGGGCTGCAGGAGACACGGGAGCTTGGGGAGGTTCCTTTCTCTAGGGCTCCACGTCGGGTCACTAAGGGAGGCGGCCCCAGCCGTGTCCCAGACCCCAGGGTGCTGCATCTCACCCCACGAGCACACACAGAGTGATGGAGAAAGCCCAAGAGAGTGTGAAACGCCAAGAGGGTGTTCGCTGAGGGGCAGGATCAGGCAACAACTCCATTCCGGCCTCACGCAGCTCGGTGGGTCAGGATTGCCTGGTGTTCCACATGTCCTGCCATATCCCCTGCTCTAACGTGCTGATTCCAGCCCCAGCCCAGCTCGAGCAGATTGTCACTGCAGCCAGGCCATCTCCCCAAAGGGAGAAATTGGCACCTTGGAAGCCACGTCCCCTTTACATGACCTGTGGGTTCCTGGCCCACCTGCCTGCACTGCACGGGCTCAGGAGCCCTGGCGAGGGGTGATGCTGTGCCCTGGAGCAGCAGTGCCAGTGGAGCCCGTCTGTTCCTGCCCCATGCTCTTCCTCCACACCAGCCCCACAGCATTTCCACACAACCCGCACCCAGAAGCAGGATCAGCCTCGTCTACATCAACCTTCTGCCCAGATCCAGGCCCATCCCTCAGCCTTTGCACAAACCCAGGCTGTTGGCAGCTCTCTCACCCCCAGGAGAGCACGCAGGGTGTTCTATCCCCACCTGAGCAGGAACAACCCCTTACTGAGTCTCCCAAGTGCCCCTGGCTCCACACTACGCTGCAGAACACAAGAACAGGGTGTACCTCCTCTTTCCCCTCCATGCCTGGTAACAACATTTCCTCCTCTTCATCCTCATCCTCCTCTAATTCTTCAGTGTCATCTTCATCATCTTCATTCTCTGCTTCTTCGCTGCTGTAACCGTCCTCATCCTCACTGCACTCCTACAAGAAAGGAGCGATACCACAGGACTCACACAGGACACTCAGTGCCCTCCCCCCTGCTGGTCCCTCCATCCTGGGGACTGATGGTCAGTTCCCCCAGAGGTGTGAGGTGACCTGGCACATGTCCCCCACACCTGATGGCTACAACCAGAGCAGCTGGTGTCACTACAGCAGTGGATGAAGGGATGGTGCATGCAGCAGGACCCAGGGCTGTTGGCTATGGCCGCTGCAGGATGAGAGTGTGTGTCCTTCAGGATTAGCTCAACAATCCCAAACATTCCCATGGGATGGCCTCAAAGGATCAGCCTGAAACACCTGCTCCTAGGACACACCCAGGATGAGCCAGGGGCTCTTCTCAAGTACCACCGTAAGCAATGCATTCTGCCCAGCCAGAAGGCCACTCTGTCCCAGTGCTGTTTCCTACCTCACTGTCTTCCTCCTCTTCCTCAACCTCATCTGACTCATCCTCACTGTCCTCAAAAAATTTGGATTTGGTTGTGCGCTGGGGCTTTCCCGTGGAGGAGCAGGAGGGCCCGGCCTCCCCAGTAGAAGAGGTGACGGCCTCGTCACCTTTGCCTAGTTCAGGCTTCTGCAGAGCAGGGCTGTTGCCTCCAGCGCTGGCTTTGTCTGAGGTGGAGGAAATACCCGTGATTTCTTCGTCTGGCTTCCCGTTCTTCCTCTCCTTGTAGTCAGGAAGCTCCCCCGGGTCAGCCTCTCCATTCATATTTGACTCCCCATCATGCTGCTTGCCTGTCCCCTCCGCAGCGTTATCCCCAGCTGCAGCTACAGACTTGGCTTTGAGGTTCTTGGTGCAGTTTTGTCCATAACGTGTGAGAAGCTCCTCGATGGTCATTGTGGCTTCTTCGTGCAGAAGAGCAGCTTCCTCATTATCCACTGCAAATGGAAAGGAGAAGAGGTGAGGACAGAGAGGCTCAGAGAGCAGGGTACCCACCACGCTGGGTCCAGTGATGAGCTGCCCTGGCTAAGGCTGCTGCTGCAGAGTTCCAGCAGTGCTCCCCAGGCTGACTGAGCACACAGCCAGGCCCCTGCCACCCCAGGTGCTGCAGGTGAGCAGGATGGAAAAGGCAGGGCCACAGCTCTGACCACAGCACAGCCTGACAGTCCCCCCAGTGCCCCGGTGCTCCCTGGCTGACTGACAGCAGCACAGAGCCTTTCCATCAGCTGCATGGCTGAGGTAAAGCCTTGCTTTCCTGAGCACAGGCTCCTGGGCAGCTGTGGGGAAGCAGAGTCGCCACTTCCATGAGCAGGTTTGGTCAGTAATGCTGCAGGACAAGAAGAGAGTAGTTGCTCCATGGGCCTGAAACACCTGGACGGGTGCAACAGGTGGGAGCACAGCTTTGGGCAGTGACCACAGCATCTCCCAAGTGGGACTAGGCAGAAAATGGGATGACCTTCCCTAAGGTCATAAGCCAATGACCACCACTTCCCTACTGACACCCCCTTAGTTATAGTTCGCTTTGCTATTTAATCCCAAAAAGAAAACACATACCCACATCCCAAATGCTCCTGAAAACACAGGACAGAAAGAAAGAAAACCCATCCAACCTACTCCATCCCTGTCAGCTGGAGAATGACATTCAACAAACAAACTCAGTGTTTCCAGACCAACACAGTGTCCACGGTGATGGTGCTGCCTTACATCTGCCTCAAGACTGGTCACAGGGTACTCAGCAAGAACAGCACAGAATTCCACCCCAGGAACCACCTCCTGTCTGGCTCTGGGGGCTGGCAACCACTTGCTGGTGGAACACTTGCTTTTTTGTGAAGAGACCAGAATCTACTTCAGTCCTACCTGCTGCCACCAGCCTGGGAGAGCAGAGTGCTGCAAACCACATTATTTCCCTTCCACAACTCAGCCCACTGCCCAGCTCAGAGTTCCTGACACATCCTGCAACCCTGCACCCTGTGGAGGAAGGCCTATGGAGAATGGTGACAAGCTGGTTTGTTATCCACAGCATTAAGCTCCCAAATGGATCTGGGCTCCCCCAGCACCAGCCCAAAGCCATGGACAGTGCTGAGGTGTGGCAGCTCAGCTCGGCCAAAACATAACTGAGAAACTGGGACAGAAAACCTTGTGCCAAAGGAGACCTGGCCCTGCTGCTCAGGGTCCTTGTCCTGGAGCTGCAGCCTTGTATGCTCGGTGGCAGCTGACTGACTTACCATCATCTTCATCAGCAACTTTCTCTTTCTCATCTTCATCATCCTGGGGCCGCCCGGCCATTTGGGAGAGCTCCTTGATCACCTCCTCGGTGGTGAGCTTGGCATCAATGGCCAAGAAAGCATCTTCCAGGGCCTGCATGGGAACAGATGTGAGTGGGCAGCCTCCACTTCCCTACGGGAGCACTGCCACGCTGTGCAATCCTGCCTCTTCCAGCATGCACACCACATGGAATCACAGCACGGCTGCAGCTGGCAGGGACCTCTGGGATTCTCCTGATCCAACCCCCTGCTCCAGCAGGGACACCCAGAGCTGATTGCCCAGGACCATGTTCAGACACATTCTGAACAGCTCCAGGGATGGAGCCTCCATTGCCTCCCTGGACAAGCTGCACAGGGGCACTGGGTACTGACAGGGGCTTTCCCTCACCTTGGTGCTCACTCATTCCGGGGCAGAATTGGCTCCTTACCTTTTGCAATTTGCCTTCCTTGTAGGCCTTCTGATCTTTGATGATCTCAGGGAGGTACTTGGCGCAGTACAGGGCAACCTCTTCTCCTGAAAAAGAGCAGAAACCATTTAAAGAGGCTGATCCTCCCAGATACAGCTTGCTCTTGAGCAACTGAACTCTGGAAGCAAATCCCAGGACACAAACCAGAGCTGCCCCAGACACAGGAGGGTGACACAGCATTTGACTCTGGGGGTCCCACTCACACCTTCCCAGGGGCAGCACCCCAGAGCAGCAGGATGTGCTGGTGGCCCTGGCAAACCTCAGAGAGCTCCAAACCAGCAGGTGTGGTCAGTGCTGTGAGCTTCCCAAGAGCGAGCTTAGGCCCAATGTGATATTCAGACTGACTCTTCAGGCCCAGGCTACCTGGAAACCTCTATTTTCACATGTCAGTGCAAGCAGAAGAAAAGGGAAGCTTTTGATCAATGCAGGCTCTCTCAGAGCGTTATCAACACGTAACGAGCACATAAAAAGTGCTCTGTGCTCTAGTGTGTGTTCCACACCAACAGCAATGGGATCCCACAGCTTGGGATGAGCCTTTCAGGAGGTGGGGCAGCCACCCTGGTACAGGAAGGGGGGTGTGTGTGTTCACGGCACAACAAACAGCAGCTGGCAGGAGCACCATGCCAAGAGCACAAGGGATAAACTGGGACTGAGGAACAACAACTCAAGGCAAGTGTCCACCCTAGAGCAGCTGAGAGATTTTTAAAAGCCAGAATTCCCTCTACAGCTCAGTAATTAATGGTGTCACATACAGAACAGGGCATGGAGGCATTTGTTGTGATCATGGAGGTGCTATTAAGAGAGGAGAAAGAGTAAACAGTGAGGGATCGTGAATTTCTCTACTTTATCTTGAACGGGGACCAGAAAGAGTAGTGTAAGAGATCAGACTAGTCATTGAGGTTTTTATATGAGGCAAAGAACGATGTAGGACACAGGAACCTGGCTCACATTCACGAGACACAAAAGTTAAGAGCTAGAAACTGAGAAACAAATGAAATGACAGCACAGGAGAGAGGGGAGTGGGGCAGGCTGCAGGTCCCACCACAGGGTCCAGGGGCATCCTTGAGGCTGTGCTGG